CCAAAGAAGGGCAAAGCTGGTGAAGGGTCTAGAGCACAAGCCTTATGAGGAACGGCTGAGGGAACTGGGGTTGTTTAGCCTGGAGAAGAGGAGGCTGAAGGGAGACCTTATTGCTCTGTACAACTATCTGAAAGGAGGTTGTAGTGAGGTGGGGGTTGGTCTCTTCTCCCAAGCAGCAAGCGATAGGACAAGAGGAAACGGCCTCAAGTTGCACCAGGGCAGGTTTAGATTGGATAACAGGAAAAATTTCTTCACCAAAAGGGTTGTCAAGCACTGGAACAGGCTGTCCAGGGAGGTGGTTGAATCCCATCCCTGGAGGTATTTAAAAGACGTGTAGATGTGGTGCTTAGGGACATGGTTTAGTGGTGGACTTGGCAGTGACAGGTTAACAATTGGACTTGATGATCTTAAAGGTTTTTTCCAACCTAAACGATTCTATGATTCTATAACCACAAAGTTTCAAAAAAACAATAAAATAATACAACTGCCTATTCCATTAGTAAGGCAGATAAACATTACATAGCAAACACAAGAAGTTAATAAATCCATATGTTTACAAGCATTACTATGTCGGCAGAGCTATAGCTCCAGCCTGTTGCAAGCGGGTCCCATTATTTACTACAGCTGCACCTTTAATGGAAGAATCTGACCATCGGAGAAGCAGGAGAATGGCTTAATGTAAGGACACAAGCACAGGAGCTTTATGATTTTGGGCATCCCCTGTACTGCCTCATGCTTCCACTAGGACTTTGGCTATGCTCTTTGGTCTCTTTGTCCTGGCTGCTCATACTTCAGAGCAGGAGAAGTTTTGATCTGCTGTCGTATATGCATATTTACTCACTCCTTAAAACATGTGGTCTTGGATTCCAACAGTTTCTCATGATATGAACATCATCCACCTGCATTTTTTTTACCTCACAAATGAGGAAGGTCTGCTATAGCTATACAGAGCAAGAGATAGATAGGATAAAAGCAATGATGGGTGAGTAACAACAGCCATATCCGAGTGTGTAATGAAACATTAATCTACATAATTCAAGATTAATCAGCAAACCAACAGAGTTGTTTAAGACCGAGGGGGAACAGTATGTTAATACACATACAGAGAGATTCCTCAAGGGAAATGCACTCCAAAATGCTGCTGTAAAGTACTTTATACACAGGACTTGAGAAAATTCCCCAGACTACTTGTACCTGTTGAAATAAATGCAACCAATTAGCTAATGATCAGATTACTGCATCTTTTACGATTAATAATTGCCTATTAAAATCAAAGGAAACATCCAGTTGAATAATTTGCTGTTGGTAGTTGTCAGCCTTGAAGCCACACTGCCAAATTATCTGACAAAGCTTAGCACAGCTTAATATACCTTTCAGTTTTTGGAAATAATATTAACACAAGTTGGATTAACTGAAAACAGACAGTATTTGAAACACATAGGACTTCTGCTAACCCCTGAAACAAATTCCAGGAGAGAACTCAAAGACCATTACAGCCCTGTAAACTTGCCAAAGTTTCTTCTTTCTGGCTGCATCAGAGATTGTACTATGCTATGATACTTTACAATTCTAGGACATGCTTACAATTGCAGAGTACTTCTACAAAAGCACAGAGGCTTTTTTTTTTTTTTTTTAACTTTTCATGTGATAGTACTACTGGGAGTGAAGGATTCACATTTAGATCAAAAATACATACTTAGATATAAAACCAAAATAAACATATGTTTAAATACATCTGTAATATGCAATTTTCTGATAGCATCTTCAACCACCTCAGCACGTACATTAGCTCACTCCACTCTTCAACTATGCTTAGGAGAGCCTTGAAAGTACAGTTACAGCAACAAAAGCGCAATCATCTGACAAAGATAAGGAACCTACAAAGGACATAGAAAAGTAGATTTACTTCTTGTCAGTATTCAGGATTTGTCCAACTGCCATTACCAGTGGGCTGGATGAGACAATACATCACTAAATCTCTTAAAGAAGATAGAAGATAATGCTATTTCTATATACGAAAATGAAATTATTTCAGTTGTAATGACTAAAGGGTCAACCTCCTAGCAGTATGGAGACAATTGGAACAATTTTGTACCCCTATGAGTACACTGTTGGCTTGTCATATCAGTGACTAAATTTGGAGTAAGTTCTCCTTAGAATTCACTTAGGTTTGGGTTTTAGCTTGTTTAGCAAATAATTACAATGTTAACCTTCCCTTCCCAAATACATCTTGTCCAGCAAATAAATTATTCGATAATATTTACTGCTTGACAATCAGCTACAAAAATCCTGTCCAGAATGTCTAATAGAGTTTTCAACAAAGACTTTTCCAGTTAAGAAAAGCAAAGCCTTTCATCTAATTCCAAATCCATTTCAGGTAGTAAAATTCACGTGTAACGGCTCAGGGCACAGCTCCGCATTGAAAACTAATAAAAGAGCAGCACGATGCTTTGGCACAAACTCAGTTGAAACTTGAAAAATTGTGCACAAAAGCAAAAATAGATAAAATCTGCTACTGATGTTTAAGTTTACTATGCTGAAAAGTTTTGACTCAGTCAGTTTGAACGCACAGATTCACAGTCAGCAGAAGAACTAAGCTGAGAATAGTCAGAAATTGTTGGTATGTTAAAGGGGGAACTGTAATTGCTGCCTGCTTATTCTGCTTATACAAAGACCACCATCTGCTAGAAAATGTCTATTACCCCTGTTGAAAAGGGAAACCTAGAAAAAGATTTAATGCTCTTTTCATTAGAGTATCAACCTTATGACCCACCTCTTCCTCCAAATACTTGAAATACATAATAACTTTTTTTGGAAGCATGTTTTAAGTGGAGGACTTTAATGTTTGAAAATTTATTAATATTTTCTCCTAAAAATAGAAATGTGGTTTATATGTTCATAAATTCACAGGCTGACTTAAGTTGATTAGATTCCTCAAAGTCTTGCATAACCAATTTGATATCTATGAGTAAAAGCCCACACTTTCCCTGTGTGAAAAGCATACATCTATTAAAGTAGATTAAAATACATTCCATGTCTCTGATCACAATCAGCATTGTTCTACTTGGCAGCTAATACCAATTCTTCCAAGTTTTCTTTTTTCCTTCTCCTGTCTCGTGTATGCCAAAATTAAAGATCTATGGAAAGGAAAAACCACATTTAGCAACCTTCCTTTGTCCTACTGGATACTAAGTGAGAAATTCCATCAACTAGGATCAATTCTTGAATATTTTACAATCTGTACAAAAACTACATTAGTAAGGACCACATAAAAGGCTGGAAGAAAACTACTGAAATTTGATGAGCTCTTTATTAAAAGTGGTAATATATTAGCATTTGTTTCCTATATGCATTAAGTATTAACTATTCATACATGCATTTACTGGGCATTCAAGTTAAGTTCCCTCTTCTGTGAGCCAAACAAAGCTGCTAACATAATAGCCCCTTTGATATTAAGGCTGAGGTAAGCAGATTTGTTGCAAGAAAAACACCAAACAGGGTGAGATTTTCAAGACAAGCCTAGGAATTTAGACACATTTTCCATTCATTTACCGGAGGCTGCATATCAAAATTATATAGACTACTACAACAAAAAAGTCTCGAGCAATTAGTATCTTCATGCCCCTATTTTTCTTGCTAAGAAGCTGAAAGATGACTATATAACATTTTGCAAATGAGCGGAGAAAAAGAAAGCTTAGAATTGTTAACCACGGCCGTTGTTACATGTGAATTTTGCTCCTGACAGCTGTATGTGGGGATGGGGTGGGGTGGGTGTTGGGGGTTGAAGGAAGACGGGGAGGTTTTGGAAGTGTTCTGAATTGTAACCAAAAGGCCAAGAAACCAGCCTGGTGTTCCAGCTGGTCCCACAGCACTCCCCACCATGTTGTGGAACAAAGATGGTCTGTGCATGTTTTAAGCTGAAACTTACTGACACCGCTGTCATATGCGATGCACTCTGTGAACTCTATACCTGATGTAACCTCTGCTGAAGAGAGTTTAAGCCTCCTGCAGCAATTTTACAGCACATTTCTGCAGCAGTTCCAACTCAGTAAAATTTTTGTGGTTTCTCAGAAGAGAACACGTTATTTGGTTTGGGATATACATGCACTAACACTAAACATGGGAGTTACCTATAAGCCAAGAGAGGCCAGATTCCAATATACCTACTCATTTCAGAAATAGCAGCAAGCTCGATAAGACGTCTTGAGAAACAAGGCACTACTTGTCATTTTCTAATTTAAAAATCCAGTTTTCAGATTTTACTACTAGAAATGCCAGGCCAATAGACTCCCACCTATTCCCTTTTGAAAATACACTAACATGAGAGATCATGTTAACTGGTAGCTAAATTGCTGCCACACCTGAAAGCAATACCTATGAGCACACATTTCTCTGAGGAGCAACACTGGCAAAGACAAAGACAGAATACAGCTAAGTATTCATATTGGTCTTAAGATATTTAGACAATGTTATATTATTTGTTCAACTCACAGGTCTGTGCCAGAAAAGTGTAATCTGAATTTTGAAACTGCACACGAACAAAGAACAAGAGAACACCGTATTACCATTCACTGCATATCAAGAAATTACACATTATTCCACTATGCCCCAATGCGCTGCATATCCATATACTAACGGCATATCTTGTGACAAAGAAATCTAACCAGCAGATTCAGACAACAATCCAAACTTCATGTGACCTCAAAGAAGTATTTTGAGAGGACAGTAAACTTCAGATGAATGATTGAAATTTAATGCTTTTCCCATGTAAAGAGCTTAAAAGTTATAAGTTAAACAAAAAGAAAACTCCAACTGCTGTTTTGTTTTTATAATAGAATAAAGAAAAAAATACAAGTCAGTATTCAACTTTGTAAAAAGCTATCAAAATTGATGGGGAAAAAACCCCCAAATATCATTTGTACACTAAAACTTGTCAAATAAAAGGCAATGCCAAATTCCTAAGTGTCAAATATATATATAAAACAAAAATATATCCTTGCCTTTTTGCTCTTTAACATAGCTCTCCTTACAGTTGTGCATGAGTTGCAGAATCCACTGATGTTGAGCACCAATGCACTGCCAAGCAGGGTCCCCAGGCGCATGAAGATCAGAAAGATATCTGTAAAACCCAGTCCAAAAATCACAGCTCTGACTTGACACACTGAAGGCCTCATTAAAACAGAGCAAAGATATACTAAGAAATACTTTTTTTTTTTTACATAATTTTAAAAATTCAATAATAGTTGTTAAGATACACTCATACCCAATGCAAACACAAGCTTTGCGTTCTCCCTTCCTCATTTAGTGAAGCAAAATTGCATCCAACACACTTGTAGAATAAACAAAACCATACATATTTAATAACACATTAACATGTATTTTCAGTTGTGCCTCTAGTAAAGTACTTGGGAAACCAAGCTCTTTATCTGCCAAGGTTGCAGTTCAATACTTCATGTTTCACTTGGAATCAGTGATGACATCTCAAGCACATAAGATACGTTATTTTTTGGTTTGGTTTTGATTTTTGTTTTTTTTGGATGGGGGTGGTGGTGTTGGGTGGGTTTTTTGTTTTTTCTTGTTGTTGGGTTTTTTTGTTTGTTTGTTTTTGTTTTCATTAGTATGTGCACACAGTTTGGAAAAAAAAAGGGGGGGGGACGCGTAGATAATGGAAAGGATTGGGGCTTCTAATACGTAGAAGCAAAACACCCTCTGTTTTTTGAGAGAGGGGAGTATTAGAAGCCCGCTGCTGTGATTTCAAAGAGAACACAGAAGTAATATAGTCTAGCGTATGGCATTCAAGACTATCTGACGACAGTACTTTCAAGAGAGTATTTTCAAAAAGCAGTAGCTGCTCTACTATTTAATGCGCCCCATAACATTCTGCATTAATGAGACTCAAGACAGATTCAAAAATTCAAGATGCTCAAGGTGAAGTACACTGATTTATTATCTTAAGCAGTGCCGGGAATGTTTAACTCCTTCACAAAAGCTGTATTACTACAATAATACTTAAAGTTAATTAGGACTGTGTTGCAAAATTCTGTCTTCTTTGAGAACTGTCTGCAGGACTTGAACAAAAAATAAAACTGTCAAAGTAGGATTGGTTGGATGGATGAGAACATTACACAACCAACCATTTTGACAAGGTGACATTTATAAGTTATGAGCTCAAGTCCTTCCTCAGTGTTAAGGGGGATTTTAGTCTTTGCTTTGACACAAAATAAAAATAAAAAAAAAAAAAACACCAAAAAAACCCACACTGGTCTTGGAAAAAATACATCTACTTGGCTGTTAAGTGATACGGTAAACTGTTTCTGAGCAGTATAAAATAATTATCAGTGTAAATACCATAATAAAATGAGAAGAAAATATGAATCGAAGCCTAATTATAAAGATAAACATTGACTATCTAAGGGGGAAAACCACAGTATTTCAGGTCTTGCTCAGCCTTAGACATTGGAGACATACAAAACAAACATATCAAGGAAGAAAAAACCTCATAACAATAGCAGGTTTTAGGCAAATAATTGTAAAATTACTATTTTGTTCATTTCCTCTTAGCTGAAGTGCTCTGAAGAAAGCTTTCTTCACACCTTGCCTCCAGAAAATTTACACTAGTATAACCACATTAGCATATCTAGATCAGTGAAATTAACTTAATCGCTTTGTATGCTGGGATTCTGTTAATTCATTAGAACTAAATTATTCCCCATTTGTTCACTCCCTGCTCTCCTTCATTATACTGTTCTACATGTGGAATACATTTGGTAGTTACATTAACAGAGTCTGCTTTAACATAGGCTGGGATATTTTTAAAGATACAATACTTCAAGGTAAGGGGCTAGAGAAAAACTAAAAAGAAACCCCAGAATCAAACACATATACAACTCTGATTCTTCCAATGAATCCTTAGAAGAAATTAGAAGACTTGGCTTAGATAAAGAAGCTGCTCTTTAAGGTTTTCAAGACTGACATAGAAAGGAAACAGTAGTGCCTTCTTCAGAGACACAGAACACTTAACTACTCACCTTAAAATGCAATTCCAATAAATAGGCAATATTTATAGAGCACCCAGAAGAATGAGAAGCACTCTACATAGATGTACACTGGTCATTGTCCTCAAACTAACGTAACGTAAAGGGACCCAAGATACCAATATCGCACTCTGTCCTGTGTGACTGGGCCTGGTGACCATACAAAAACATCTAAGACCTCACACAGGTGTCAGAATTTTAAGTATGCTACTTGCACAGCGCATTTAGTCTACATCTTTTAAGATAATGGAAAAAAGCACTGAGAATGTCAAGCCACACTAGGAACCCTAGTAACATCCAAAACTCAAAAGCTTTCTAAGTAAAGCCATCAAATGTTGCAGAGCACTCTAAAGTTTAGCTCCAAGGACTGTAAAGCAGGTTAAGGTCTACCAGTAGAAAGTCCAACCAACTCATGTCAGTATGCTTACAACAGGCTTTGACATCAGTTTTGTGAATGACAGAAAATCTAGGAATTTCAATGAAAACTGAGGAACTGGTTCATGTAATATAAAGGAGCTACATTTAGACTGAGTAATAAAAGAGCCAAAACCAAATTTAAATGACAGTCTGGATTAAAACCTCCCTAATATCTGACTCAGGATGATTCCATTTCAACACCAAGTCAAGCTGAAGCGTAAGACAAGTTAACAATGAATCTATTTTGAGATCTGCAACCTATGAGTGACCATTTCAGACGTAGCTTGCAATATGATGGTTTAGAGGAAGCAACAGGCTCTAAACATGCCTTAAAGATTTTAAAAGATTTAATTTAATCTCACTTATCTTTCATTAAATTGTTCTCATTCAAGAACTGTTTTTCAATCATTCAATAAACAATCAAGAACCAATCCATTACCACTGTTTATATAATCATAAAATCTCAAAATACTCTACTTACAGCTTTAAAATTAGTATTTAAACCATAGTAGAAATAGTCACTACCCTATTTAGGAAACAGATTTAAATACATCTAACACTATATATCTGATGAAGACACTAGTCAAATGATTACCTTATATAACGTTTCTGATCATGCAACGTTGACGGAGTTTCAAGCAGCTTATCCAACAGAAGTTCTCTTAAAGCTTCAATTCTAGTTTCAACTTCAGCATAATCTAGGAGCAGGGAGAGGAAATAAATCCAATGTGTGCCATCAGCAGTGGTATGAACTGAAAATTTTTCTAGGACATCAGACACTTCCAAAGTTAATGTGGAAATCAATATAACTCATTATATAACAAGCCACATCTGAAGATTTTGTATGCAATAGTTATAACAAAATAGAAAATTAGACTTTCAAGTCTTTCCAACAATATGGTAGTGAGAGATACCCAAAGTCACTTTTTAATTACTGTAACTTTTTCTATGTCCAGTAATACCAAGACTTAACATTGGCTATGATTTCACATTTTATAGTATATACCTCACTCAGAAAACTTGCCAGAAATATTGCTTAGAGTAACTGGTTCCTATAAATCCATAATTTTCATGGATTAAAATCCATATAAAACCCACATAAAGCTCTTCAGACTACTATGTGCTTTTTATCCTTTAAGTAAAAAAAAAAAAAAGCAGCAAATAACAGAACCCGTATCTTACATTTTTTGAATACTTGAACCTCTGTCTTTCCGAAGAGTGACTTGGCTTTTTCGTAGTCGTTAATAACCACATCATAATCACCCTTAAAAAAACCAAACACAAACAAACAACAAACATTTCTATTTGTCAAGAAAAAGGTAACAGACCACTTTTCTATTTGCTGAAAGTATTTTTAAAGGATTATACCTTCTGGATATTTCTTTCAATATTCAAGGGAAGGTTGAAAAGAAATTTAAAACGCTGAAGAACATTAAGTGCATTTCTTGTTGAATCAGCTTTGTCCTTGCGACCCAACACTTCTTGGAATAAGGTATCTGCTGTGTTACTGGCTCCTGTTTTAAAAAGGATGAAAATAAAAAAAAGTAGAGTAAGTAATCAGTTCAAATGACATACAGATTTTCCTCATTTTAATGAGTCATTCAAGTTTTTTTTAGAGCAAATGAGTAATTATTGCTCAATTTTTATACTTTTTTTGTTCAACTATGTGAACATTTTACAACTGATGAAATACTATTTCAATGTGAACCACTTAGCATTTTAATGTGGTAAGACCCCTGTGTAATTAAACAATCACTCTTTCCTATTTCAAATGCTTAACTTTGCTGCAGATATAGTTTGCTTTGGCTCCAGATCTACATTTTACAACTAAATTATGCAACTCAGGATATGGAAAAAGTAATAGAAAGTTTTCTTTTTAGAAAAGTATAATTTCATTATGTTAATTAATGTCATAGCGTTAAGAGTTATCACTAGGTTTTGCAAACAATTTTTCTGTGTTTTCAAATTAATTCTTAAAAATTATTAACAATATTTGATATTTAGGTGAGTCACTTAAAAGTACCAATGATTAAGTCAAAGATAATGGCATGACTGAAAAAAGTCTAACTAGCTGGTCACTGTAACAGAATGAATACAACTTGTCTTCGCATTGCATTAAAAGTCTTATTGGCTTCACTGCATACAGGATCAAGCCTTGGTCAACATTTTCATGCAATTAAGTTTCTATACTATCTGCAAACATTCTTCAATAAATGCATTAAATATAGCCTTAAAACCTTTGCTATCCAGACTAAAAAGCATTCTGTTTTGTAATAAGGATAATTTCCTAACACAGAATAATAAAATTTCATTTATAGTAAGGAAGATTTAAGTCACATGCAAATATTTGCATTTTTCAACTCGTGACTTATTTTTAATTAACCAAAAAAAGAAAAAAAGTGGAACTGTGTTAGCCTTTTTGATCGTTGCGTGTAGAAGTTTCTACATTATCTGGTCTAGTGACTATACTTTAAGCAAAGATGAAAAAAATTACATCAGTCTCGCTGGGTGGCTTGCATGCCATTTTCTCTAGTCAACACCGTGGGTGGCCTGCTCATGTTAAAAGTAGTCTTTGTAAAATAATTGTTATATCTAAATAATGTTTAAACTTTGTTGAAATTTTGAAGCCTTGATGTAAAAAAAGTTTTGTCAGGATAGCTATTTCTACTGCATACTATTTAGCATAGTATACTTTAATCCATTAAGGAGAAATACACAATGAAAACAGCTAGCTGGATATTTAAATACAGACCACTGATAAAGTATGATTTTTCTCTTGAGGTTATAATAAATGCTTGTTTTGTAAATCCTTCCATTAAGTAACATTTGTTTTGTTTGAATTCATATGTTTCTTGTCCATTCTTTTAACAGCCAAGCAGCAATGTACTATATCTGGGAATTAAAATTATATTCACGAAGCTTTTTTTTTTTTATTCAAAACAAATGTTTTTAAAAGGTAATTGACAACTGCAGGATTAGCACAGTGATTTCCACCTTTAGTTTAAAACTACACACCTTCATCTCTTTATGAACTAATTTGCTGTAGAAATCCTCAATTCAAGTAAATTATTTTATTTTTTTCTATGGGCACTTTTTCTTTTTTACACAGAAATTGAAATATATCAAATTACTTATTAGTGTCTTAATGCAATTCACTAGTTCATGCAAAAGAGGTCTGTCTTTTTAGTCTTAAAAAAATATTGTAAAATTTCTTCCCTCCTCACTCCTCCAAATCCTTTCTACATTAACAATCTTTATCTCTTGAATCCTGATGAATAATCTAAACCTAAATAATAAAGTCCATGGATAAAGATTCAGGTCCTATATTGGCTAACTATGTTTTCAAAATAGATGATTCATCTACTGTGTGCAAATTTTTATTACTTCAAAATAAAGCTCTAGTTATCCAACAGTTGTCTTTCATAGAGCCTGACAAAAACACCACATAATATTTGAATTTGACTGATCTCCTTTAAGATACAACTCTTCATGAAATTCAGTATAGCACACCATACGTTTTTATAAACGTATATTTAATACCTTATTTAACAATTAAATTCAGCAATTTAGCAAAAACTCCAAACATTTATAATTCCACCTATAACACCAGACTGCGCTTCTACTATCCCATGCCATTTCAATCCAATAATTTGGCACACTCTTAACATACGTTCAGATGCTGTAGAAAACATGCTTATTCTTAGGAATTTGTAATCAAGCTCATACCACCAGTTGTCTCTCAAAATATGCACCTACAGTCCACAAAATGTAAAATTCGACTAAGGATTCAAAGTCATTTTTGAAAGCAGGCCCTGTTACTCATGGATTATGGAACCTTTTCAATGGTCAGACAAGAAACAAAGCTTTGATCCTAAACTACTTTGCATAATATTATTTACTCTTTTTAAATCCTTGTATTCCTACTTCCCTGCCTCCCACCCATCATGACTTGCAAAGTATTGGGAGGAAAAGCAGCCAATTCTTTTCACAGCAGAGCCAAATTTAATACCACTCTGAAGCGCCTGGCACAAGTTTCTCTACAGATTCAGCTTGAAAAAGACAGTCCGCATTATCTGCGTACAGATTTCAGCCACCATTTATCAAATGAAACAGTGATTATATATTATAGGTAGATTTGTCTCATATTAGTGTGTGCAGGAAAATGTCACAGACCTAAATTTTTGCTTTTTTTATTTAAAAGCTGTCACACAGTTTTGCCAAAAGGAAAGTGCTCTCCAAGTAATCTGTGCTTGGTGCATGACACGGCATTAATACAGAACACAGAGCATTGAAGATTGCACTGGAAAATTTCAGCAAATGTTTTTTTCTCCTATCCTATATGTATCAAATCTTCTGCACACACAGACACATGCTATAGTCTTTATATAGTGTGTGTGAGGTTTTTTGTGGGGTTTTTGTTTGGGTTTTGTTGGTGATTTTTAGGGTTTTGGTGGTGTTTTTTGGGGTTTTGGTTTTTTGGTTTGTTGTTGGTGTTGTTTTTTGTTTGGTTTTTTTTGGTGTGTGGGTTTTTTTTTTTTTTTTTGCATTCCAGGCAACAAGATGGGGGAATAACAATGTTCAAATTACACCTTTATTGTGAGCATTAATGAATCTCTAGAGCTGTTCACAAAACCCTCTGCTTTCTTTGTGCTCCCCACACAAACACGCATACAGTCACTGCTTTCTTCATACAAGAGAAGAAAAACAGTGAACTTCCATGTCACTTTCTTGATTTCATAAAACACACTCAGACTTTCCAACACTGAGTCAGCTATCTGCATGTCATTCCTG